TAGTTATTAGTTTTGTTGATAATCAGCCGGACTTAAGACTGTGGGATGGACTACGAAGACACGACACCGTTTTTGTGGGCGTTTTAATTTCCAAGTTTTCGTTGAGACTTTGTTCAACTAAATTGCTCTCACCGACCGTAAAGGAATTCGGTACTGCTGTTTGAGGATACCATTTGCTGAAAGCAGCGACGGAAACTTTGTGATTCATGTACTCTAATACTGAGTATTTGTCTTTTATGATTTTTGTGTTTTGCTTAACTTCATTGCCTCGTTGATATAGTTAGCTATAGTTAACTGGTTTGAGATCGTGCATCCATCAAGCATTTTGACGCCAGGAATAAAGTACTTGTTAATGAAGGTTTTCACTTTATAATCGTCTAACTTAGCCGATACCATTTTTAATATTACCAAAGTAAAGCTGTACAAAAGCGTGTCGTAGAGAAAAGAAAGCGGCCTCCTACTGGTCTAAGTTTCTTAGTTTCTCCAGCTGACCGAAGCCGGGCGGGACATATTGTGTTTTTCAGCGCTGACCAAAAAGTTTTCCCGACGTTCGCCGACATTGAAAAAACTGTACTTTACTTAATAATAGTTTGCACTTTGCATCTAACTTTCCCTAAGCAAATTTGGTGCAAATCTATTTTTTTCTCCAGCGTGTGCTGCACTTGTTAAAGTAAAGACGAGCTGTCTTGAAAATCGGGCCAAGTTAAAATGCCAAAAGCCTTTAAGCTAAAAAAAGGCCAGAAATAGATTCAGTTTTTTCTTTTGTCTTTTTAGATATTTTTAATGGTTTCCTTTCTCCAGATCTATGAAGATATTAAAATAAGGAACGAAAATAAAAACTTACCCGAGTTTCTTCGGACCGTCCTGAATGGAGACTTGTCCTCTTCTGGGTACAACCTCTTCGATGATGAGATATATTCAGAACTTCCAACAACGAGAGACTCCACGTAGCACCATTGGTTTGGACAAAGAAAAGGTGTTGACAATAAGGGATCGTGACGAGACTCAAAATCAGAGAAATTAGTGTTGTTCATTAAATTTCGACAAAATTTTATGATCACATTTTCGGAGAGGCAAACCAGAGGAAGAGCTTTGGGGGCATTCTATCCATAGGAGAGGGCAAAAATTAACCGACAGATGGTGACTTTTTCTTTTAGCATATGGCACTGGAAAAATAATCCTTAGAACAGTTCTTTATTTGACACGTACGATAAAAATTGAAATTTTAATTGGTCTCAAAATCTTCAAGACAAAGGATTGTCTATTAGAAATAATCTTTTCAGACATGTAGGAAAAACAACAAAAAAAACCTTTTACTGACTCAATCTAATGGATCCCATTTGTTTGGTCTCGAATTTAAATTTCAAGTTTTAAAATTTGAATATTGCTAATCCTGAAGTAACAGTAGTTATTAGTTATATTAAATTAACGCAGTTTCTCTGCTTTTATTCGGTAGTTCAATGATCTCCATGTGGGGCGTACGAGAAATATGATTTCCGTATAATACATGAGACAAGTTTTAACAATATTTCCCTTAGTTTCGAGAAGACAAAAGAGCTGATTTTTCATAGTCTTCCAATTCTTGTTTACTGCAGTTCACAAGTTGTTTTCTTTCATATGAAAAATATTATTCAATCAGTAATGATATTGATTCACATTTTTTGACACAAAGTTAAAGTGCCATGCGAGCCGTTCTAGACAGACCATGTTGTTTGTATCAAACACAGCTCCATATCCATAAGGTAACTTCAGACCCATTATGACTTCCTGAACTCCATAATTTCATGTAAAAACTGGGAATCTTAAACTTTTCTCTCTCCTGATCAAACGGCATCACATTGTTTTTCTTTAACTTTAAAAAGTTTTTCTTACTTCGAATATAATTTTAATTGTGCTGAGATGTGTCTAGAGCCCGCTTAATTAATCAATCTAATTAACGGTTACTCAATCTATCATTTGAAAACTATCAAATATAGTCCTTTCTCGTTAACAATTACCCTTCTCATCGAGTCGGTATTGAAAGGAGAATGTTTTTCTAAAATGGCAATGAAGGAGGACTGGTTCACTGTATTTTATGCAGACAGTGCTCTCACAAATTTAAAACGCTTTTCGGATAACAATCTTTTCGGGTTTGCAAAAATATCTACCATCTTACTAGATAATTATGTTATAATTCAGTGCCAAAGACTTTCACGTTTTTAGAAGATCTTCGATCGGATTTAATTCTCTAATAGTAACATGGAATATAACGAAAACATAGAAGTATACATCATGCAGCGGTTTGGAGAACTGAAGTTTAGTTATAGAGAAAAAATTGTTTGTATTAAGATACTGTTGCCCTGATACTTCTTAAACAAAGGTTGAAAGAAAAAAAAAAGCTACTTAAACGTTAAAAGAAGCTCTTTGCTTAAACAAAAACATTACTCAATCTACTGCCACAGACGAATTAACACCTGCAGTAAAACGCCCATCGACCCAAGAGCTTTTATGATGTAAATTTATTTGTTGTTCGCTGACTGCCAGTTCTTGGAGGTCTTTTTCGTGATATATAAGTTGAATGATTATTACTTAAGACGGTAAATGAGAAAAGAATTAGTCTTTTTAACGAAGGCAAATCAAATGTACGGAAAAGTGCCCCAGTAATACACCAAGTATTTGACTCCAATCTTTAAGTTTTGGAAGTCCCAGACGATCCAAGGGAGTTTTAAAAGTTCAAGACAAGTTTAGAATTTCAGAAAAATCTTTAAATATAAGAAGCCACTTTTTAAACAAATGTTCTTTTAAAGTAGGAAAATACAGAAATTACTCATTTAATTTATTCGTAGAGTTGTCAAGTTACGATAACTGAGCTTGTTATTTTGATGAAAAGTTTCCACCGGTATTGTGATGGAATAAACATCACAATACCGGTACTGACAGCAATTAATCAATTTAAGGAAAGTCGTAAGCTATTCATTAAGCAAACTTTATTCCAGGCATTGATTTAAAACAATTATTTTGAAGACGAGAAGAGACGAAATAATAGGTGTTATAACACGAGACTGTTTTTCTCATTTTTTTTTTCTCTCTTAAGTAGACCGTAGGGTTTGAACTAATTTTCCTCTTAAAATTAACATTCACTCGTGACTGATCAGGACTCCCCATGCACAAGCGAGAAAATGGTTTTAAAACGATTGGATCGAATTGTTTGTAGAGGGTTTTGTGACATACCAACGACAAACTCGATCGATTCCAGGGAAACTTCGCTTAGTGACTATAACAACGCTTTAACGTTTTTACTAGGAATTTGAGGAGGAAGGAGAGTTGTTTTACAAGCCATGTACCATTTGGGTTTTACTGACATTCATTGGCTCCCTTGTCACACGAAGAGGGGACGCACGAGCTAACAAAACGAAAAAAATAAATGTTACCTTCTAAGCCTGACCATCACTAGACAGAATAAAAATGAAAATCCTCCATTCCACCTGAACATCAAGGAAAAGCCGCGCGAAGGACAAAACGTGTCATTTTCCCATCATTGATTTTTGGGGGCCGTGGGGAGTATTTTGTTCCTGATTTGTTGGCCGTACAAAAGTTTCGTTGGTTTAGTAATACGATCAGTTGTTCGCTTTCCGCTAATTTTGACAATCAACATCTTTACAGTTTGAAAACGTTTCGTGCTTTTTTTTTATGCTCACAGATGTCCCTTACTAAGGATCTTTACCCTCTTCCCCTGGAACTTTCAAACAGAGGAATCAGGGGGGAAAAGATGTGGAAAGGCGGAAAAGGAGCGTTGCACGCGTCACCTTGCTTCCAAGTCGAGGTATTCAGTCGCTATTGTGTAAACTCTTTTTATTTACCCCAAAAGCCCAACACTCGGGATTAGTGAAGCAAACTTACAAGCCACACTGAAAACCTCCGAGGCAAAACCAACGTTCATAATACGGAGCTAGTTTTCGGACTATTTCACGGTTGTTTGCTTATTGTTCTGGTCATGCATGGAAGCATTAAATCACGGTACAAATAAAGGGGGTTCCCGCGTGGCGTTTGTGTGTGTTATAAGTGGGAAGGTGGTAAGTTAAACGCTGATAATTGCAAATAAAACTCCCACGTTTCGGCGATGCTGCCTTCATCAGGGAAAATATCATATAGCATTAAATCGCTCAACAGCCCCAGCGATATTAGCAGCAAGGTTCCGCAGGTTCAAAACAAAGGCAATTTCGCGGCGAAAAAGCTCCATCAAATCGCCACTACTTTACACGAGCGATTTGAAATCACATCAAAACGAACAAACGGGGTGAACGAGCCTGTAAATCAAAGCCCTTTGCGCGCTATTAGGCCATATTCACCCAGTAATGCAATTGTCTGCTTTCCAACTCTTTTGTTCAAGGCAAACTGTTCAGTTAATAAAGAAAGAGAAACAGGGGACTATTCTAGACCGTATAATAAATCACCAGAGAGTCTGCCCTACAACAAGAGGAGGAGGATAAAATTCACCGTCTAACTTTAAGACCCGCTTACCAGGGAAAAAGGAAACAGAATATAGAACATCTAACACGTATGATTTCAGAGTGTAAAGAGAGAAAATTCGCAGTTGCATAAAAGAGCAGCAATGAATCGGTTTGGACTGTTAAGAAGAACACCATATGAGAATTAGAAACAGTTGTTAATGTTAAACACGATATTCGATGCACTAATCAATGTCATTGAAGTCTCTTTGTGTATTTTTATTTGGAATGAGCTCCCCGTAAAAAAAAAAAATATGTTTGTTTGTCTCACCTCTGGTCAAAGATACTTCGCGACAATTTTATAACCAGTGGGAAAGAAGTGCAAACATTTTATCGCTAGCTGAGGGTTAGGATTTGAATTCTTTCCCAGCAGATTTATGCCTAACCCTCCCCCCGATCCCATTCCCCACCCCACCCTCCAAGAATACTCGAATATCTCAAGGAGGAAATAAAAATTCGTAGTTTATATTGATATCCTTCGTATTTCTTTTTCCGAATTATTGCATGTCTTTGTCATAACTTTTGTCTATGAAATAACCTATTTGCGAAATTTTGAAAGGGGATTCCCAGAGAAACGAATTTGTCTCTCATTAGTGCTAAGTGTCCTGTCACGCATTCCACGACCAGTCGCACATTGTCACTCTCTTGATATCTCCATACAATGGCAATGATTAAAATAAGAAGGCTTGTCACAATAATTCGCAACCTGCAAATTAAATAAAGATAAGGTAAAAAGGGCAAAAAAAAAAAAAAAATTTAAGTTGTTTTGAAACACTGCTGCAAAACGAGTTGAATTTCCGTGTTGTGTGCGCTTTACCGCTCGCAATTTAAATCAGGTTGTTGCAGTTTGCGATAAGTTGTTGCGGAAAGTAGAGAGTAGTTCTACTTTTTGCAAACAACATTTGTTCAAGTTGCGAGTTTCACCGGCCTAAGGCAAACTTGCTTTACAACAAGTGACGTTATTCCATGTATGGCGAGACTCTCGCGTAATTTTATCCAATCAGAAGTCAGTACTCACGCAACTTGCGACAACCTGATTTGATACAAGGTAGGTTTCAACGTGAGCGGGCGCTTTTCAATTCGTTTCCAAGGCAACTGAGTTCAACAGAGCACGGTCAGTTAAAGAGGAGACGGATGTAACGAAAGGAGGGAATTGGAAGAGTCGGACGAGAAACAACACAACTTACCAGGTCCTTGTAAACGGAATAACAATTCTTGCTAGTGTTGTGCATATGATAAGAATAATCTGTAAGATGGCCAGCATCATGGTAAGAAATTTTGATAAAAGTGCTTTAGCTTGCGCGCTTTGATCCAAGTATTCGTCCAGTCCCATCATCTGCTGGCTCTGTTGTTGAAGCGCTTCAATCTTTAAAACCTGTGTGACAAAACAATTAACAATTAACCCTTTCACTGCCAGAGTGTTTGATGGAGTATTGTAAGGTGACTCTAACCTTTGAGTCCATGGACGAAATCCTATGATGTGACCATTCAAATGAAAGCTCTCTGCCTGTACTTCCACATGATGCTATTTGTTTCTCACAATTTTGGAAAATGAAATTTGGAAATTTGGTCGAAACTTGCCTTTGGCCGCATTTGGCAGTGAAAGGGTTAACGTGCAGCGTAATGATAATTCTTAGCATTACACTGTACTGCATGGATGCTCAGACAAGGTACAAGTGAAGCCATACCTGTATGGCGTACAACGCAACTCTTACCTTTGTAACATAGGACTCCAGGCCTTCCTCTATTTCACTGGCCCTCTCCGCTGATCGATATTCCACTAGTTCAATACGCTCCTCAGCTCGCTCTAGTTCCTGTTTTACGGTTATCATCTGCGTCACACATTAAAAAAAAAACGCTGATTAGCACTGCCAATTCTAACGAAAAAACCAGAGTGTGCGCAGGTTCAAACGTCACTCTTGAAGACTTTTGATCTTAATCGATAAAAAACAGGTCAATAAAAAGTCAAAAAGGGTACTATCTACGATGTCAGATAAAAACCTTGAAACACTCTGGAAAATCCCCCTTCGCATTTGCAATGTTGTTGTACGCAGAAGGACAGGGAAGTGCATGGGTGTTTGAATGATTTTTGGCAAGGATAGTGCGAGGTGTAAAAGGACATCTGGGGCGCTTTCCATTCAACCCAAAATTCCGGAAACTTCGGTTGGTACATAGGTCTGGTCATTGGTAGGTCATTGGTCATTGGTAGCTCGGACCGAAATGGCCCTACCCTGGGTACCAGAGGTTCTTTCTCGCGTGCGATAGGGAACTTCGCTTCGTGGGTGGTTTCCGAAACCGGAAACCGCGCATGAAAAGCCTCTGGCACCCAGTGTAAAATGGCCCTTTCCATTTAACAAAATTGGTGTCCCCAGTACCGCTCTTTTGTATCCTGCTTACAAGAACAATAACCAAACGCGCGGTGGCTTGCGTCGGGTGTGTGCAACCGTTCCATTGGGCACGTGACATTTCCGAAATTTCAAACCGGAATTTTTGTTGAATGGAACGCGCCCCTGGTTACTGTTGAACGCTGTCCTGACCTTGCAGCATGCTTGGCGAGGATTGTAGCCCGGCGACCACTTAAATTCAACTAGGAATTGCACAAGACTAGAAATTACAGGTTAAGTGCGTCCACATAGTCATTCAAGACTGTGCTGTTGGATGGACAATTCTGCACGCAAAATCTAAAAGCCGCTTACCTCGTTCTGCCGTAATTCTGACACGTCATTCCATTCGGTTGTGATAGTATTTAATAATTCCCTGAGTTGCTGAAAGTAACCAAAAACACCCTTTTGTTAACCCAGCCTGCCAATATTGTGAATTATACGTTCGTTATCATACAAGAAAAGAGAAATATAATTTTTCTTAAATTAGGTGAGAAAAGAGAGGTCTTCAACGAGCACTTAAACCTTGAAAGATTTTTTCAAGTAACTGTTGATTCTAAATTTAAAGAAGTAGAAATGGCAGCTTTTTGCGCGTTCAGAAACGCATATGGCAATGATATCATTGCGTGAGGAAATTCTAAAGTATAAAGGACAAACTGAATACAAACCTCGGAATTGCATCTTTCTTCTTGAAGCGATTCCGCGACAATATCTAACTGACGCTGCAAAAGAGCCATGGAAAGTTGGCTGAGCACAGAATCGTATATTGCCCTGGAATGTGGATCAAACTTCAAAGCTGTGCTACGTTTTGAACCCGCTTATCTATTTATTTATTTATTTATTTTGGCACAATCACGTGCTTCTCTGTCTGATATGGATATCCAGCAGTAACAAAAGCCTCCTTGTTTTTGAGGACCATTTTAATGAACGATCACGTGAAGTCCACATCACGTGTTCCCTCATTTCACGTTACATTTCTCCTTATGTGAATTTGCATAAGCGCCAAGGGTAGCAACTGCTCCTCCTCTCCTCTCCCCTCCACCCTTTAGTTGAAATATCAGCACAGGCGTTTTATTCAAGCGTTGCTTTCCTTTGTACAAGGCTGATGCCATCATTGCTAACCGCATCTTTTATTAACATAAACAATAGTCTGCAGTGCAGGCGTTTTCATCGGGCGCGCGAATGGTTTTAATCGCGAAAGCGCCATGTTGAAACTCCCGAAGAGAGGAGGAAATGGGGCGAGTGAAGGGGAGGGCGGGGAAAAAGAAGAGAAAATTTTTTCTCCCCTCCCCCTCCCCCTCTCCTTCTTTCGCCCTCACACCTACCCAAAGGGTTACTATTTCTGCTCTCCCTAATCTTCCTCTGTCATAAAATCAAAGATGGCGGCTTCATCGTAGCGATACGAACATGAACAAGCTTTCGCCCACCCAAAATACGCCTGCACTGCAGGCTACATAAACGACAACTACCTAAGCGTTGAATTTCATTTCTGTCGATTTTTGCAAATTTTCTCGTGCTTGAGCGAGGCCAAGGAGAGCTAACAAATCATTATACGT